GTGCGTCCTGTGAGACCGTAATGGACGCTGAAATGTTCGTGGAGATGCCAGCTACGACGTCATTAGTAGATTCTGAGATTGAATATAAGGTACAGTTGGACGAGACTTCCGATACAGCGATAGTACAATATCTTGTACTGGACGTTGGTCTCGAGGAATTGAGCCTGTCTTTGAAGTCGTCTTGCGGCGAAGATTGCAACATTGTCGTCTACGTCACGGCGGAGGACAATCTCGCCGATGGCCTGCTCAACTCCACGGCAATGTCGCTATCCTTCAAGCCCTACGTAGACAACTTCCACTTTGTGACCCTTCGTCTATTGTCAGGAAATGCGTCGAATGTGACGATGCAACTGCCAATGAGCCACCAAACAGATGTCGGAGTCGATCAGGTGACCCCGGTGGTGCTGTCACGAAAATCCTTCCCTGAGTTTTTCCTCTTCGACTACGAACACCTGCTTGGCAACGACACGAAGCCCCAACCCTTTAACGTAACCGCCGAGGCTCTTTCCGTCCTTAGTTTCGAGATCGGTCGGGTGTACGATGTCGGCGGCACGGTCACTCTTGGCTTCAAGCTGGTCGACGTGGAAGAGAAGTACAAAAAGAACATTGTCCTCGTGGCCTGTGTTTCCTTAGGTCGGTTCGTGTGTCTTAAAATTACCTCTAATAGAATAATTTCTTTTAGAATTAAACTAGAAAATTTGATACTTCTTTCAACGCGAGTATAGTTTGAAGATAAACTTAGATTATCAGTCGCGATTATGCAATATATTTCATTTTGCAACAAATCTTTGTTTTTAATATATAATAATATAAAAAAGTAGAGTATGCATAATTTATACAAAGTTAAAATTTATTAAGATTAATTTCTAGAGTCTCTTTAATACACATCATTTCATCCTCCCCGTTCCTTTGAAATTCTTTAGGGTACTACGCGAACATCACTTCTGGCGGTGGTTGCGTCCGCGCGCGGAGTCTCACGACGGCGGACATGTACGTGAATGCGACTGAACCGGCTTACGTGCACGTGCCCTTCCCCGAGGCAGGCACCTGGTACGTTAGTCTTCGTGTCTTCTGCCCCGAGGAAGAAAAGGAAGAATCGGAGGAAAAGACGCTCAACGGTGCCAATATCAACATCAGCACCAGCTCCTGTTCCTGCAGCCGCACCTGTTTGCAAGGCGACGTCGCGTGCGAAACGTGCGACTGTCTGCCGCGCTGTCCCGCCGTCCGGGTGGAGAGCATTGTATCGTCATCGCCGTGCATCGAGGGTCGTTGCGGACATCGTGGCAAGTGCATGCACTACATGAGCGGCGGCTTCGTCTTCTCGGCGTGCTACTGCACAGGCGGCTACCGCGGCTTCGACTGTGCGGATAACACGTACGTTCTCAGCACCAGCGGCATACTTCTGCAACTGCTCGCCCTTACCTTCAGTAACTTTGCTTTCCTTGGCTCGATCTACGTTGCTGTAAAACGCGAATACTTTACCGAAGCGGTCGCCTACGTCGCGGTCATGTTCTTCTCCACGTTCTACCACGCCTGCGAGGCCGGCGAAGAGGTCTACAGTGTGTGCATCATGCGATTAAGCGTACTACAATTCTGCGACTTCTTCAATGCGTTGCTGGCTATCTGGGTGACCTTAGTGGCGATGGCATCGTTTGGGCCACGATTGACTGCTTTCTGTCAGGTGGCTGGTGCGATTGTACTCGCGATGGGCGCCGAGATGGACCGTACGGCACTCTGGGTGTTCCTACTGCCAGCCGTCACTGGTTCCGCCTTAATCGGACTGTCCTGGGGGCTTAGATGCAAGAGAAAGCGCACCATCAGATATCCATCGCGTCCGTATAGGTAAGAAAGAAAAGCTTTGAGGGGGGGAATGACTATTTGATAAAAAAAAATAAAAATGATATAATAGAGGTAATTAGAGATAAATAGAGATAAATAGAACATTGTAATTCGGTTAGCAAAATGCTAATAGTTTGTTGGAAAATTAGCAGCAAATTCAATTAGATTCCTACTGTAGATCTATAGCAATTTCCCAATCGATACTATATAATTAAAAGTAACATAATTAATCTATAGAATTTGTTTTATTAAGGTCAATTGTTCTGCATTAAGCTCAGGATCTGTCGACAAAGTCTACTGATATATCAGCAGATTTATGGTAGAAACCGAATGTAAGAATCTACGCGCGCGGACACTCTGACAGTAGACTGGCAGCAGGCTTTGTCCTATTTCTAGCATTTGTTGACATTGTTAAATATTACAGACTGTGTGAAATTTATTGCTTTTCTATCATCAGAAATTGATAACATATACTCTGTTCAAAATCTGTCTCTGCAGGCTATTTGGGAATGTACATATAAATACATAATAAGACAACGTCGAAATAATGGAGTAAAGTCAGGAGTATTATCTTTTCATGACGCGACCGAAGTTGTATTTTTCTTTGCATTTTATATTCTTCCTGCTTTATTGCAGCACAAGATATTTCTGTTTCTAGGACCATCTACTTCCCAGCCGGAGTTCTTCTCGTTACTTTGGGTCTTGTTTGTTACGCGTTTCTGCAAACACGCAGGAATTATTATCTCATTCATAGTCTGTGGCATATCTGCGTGGCCATAGGGGTTATTCTACTTCTGCCGAAGCGCAAGTACATGAAGTAATAGTCAAAGTGCCGCGTACGTATCCAGGAGAGATTTAAGGAGACCGAAGATAGTATCGACAGTTAAGAGATGTGATAGTAGGTAACCAAAGACATCAGGGAAATTATTACAATACAAACACAGATAGATATCATCGACGAATCGGCTTTTGTACGACAGGAATCACAAGAACCAATTATAGCACCTTGCATGCAAAGATATGTTGAAAGTTATCATATATTGAAGATAATCTAAAAAAGATGTATTTATTTATAATTTTATATTGATTTTTAGTTATATATATTGAACATGCATTTTATTTTTAGAATTATCTTAATAGATTAAAACTTATTGTTAGATCAAAACTATATCCTTCTTTTTCTTATAAAATTTATTTTTCATCTTTATCGTGTATACTCGTGATTCGCTTCGTAACAAAGTTGTTCGTTCGATCGAATATGACGCTCTTACGCATATATTATATATATATGTATATAAGAGATATTATTCTTCTAAAAAAAGTATCGGTAGTATATAGATATATCGAGAGTATTCCAAAGACGGAATTAACTCGACGAGATTTATCAATAACACATTTAGCAATAAAATGCGATATAAATTCAACGACAGTATTAAGTCAAGTTAAGTCGTCCGTGAAAGAAATTCTTGCTCATTTTAATAACTAATGAGGAAATTCTGAAGAAAGTAACATCGACATTAAGATATTTTCGTTCTTCACTAAACTCTCGATAGAATTAAATCTCTATTGAATGTAAATATTGAAGTTTGAGAGTCGTGCGCGAAAATATCGCGATAGAGAATATAAATTATTGCTGAAATTAACGTTGAATTTTATAAAATTGTTCCAGGAAGAATTTTCGAAATGCACTTCGACATTCCGAAAAATCTATATTGATCGCACGAATACAGAAATGTATCGCTATACTTTATTGATTTAATTGCGACCTGTTTGCAAGGACCAATTCTATGTAAAATGTTGGAAACGTGATGAAAAAACGAAGGATATCTTCGTGCGAAATGGTGCTTTTTTATTCACACGAACGTTCTTTGCTATCTTTAGTCTTTTAATAATAACACATTGTTGTAGCACTATTGTTGTCATACTATTAATTTGTAAGTATTACGTATCGATCGATTTCCTGACGTCATTTTGACGATAGACGCGTTTTATAAGAGCATACCATATTCAATAATTAAGTATACATTCCTCATTATTGCCTTCCCTTGTGTAGAAGGTATTCAAAATATTCATTTTTCTTCGTATTAAATATGAAAATAATTTAACCTTCATTTACTAGTGAAGACAATCCAAGCGTAGAAATGTATCTTTTAAGAACGAGTCCTTTTTTCCTAGGAATCAATATCTCGCACACGAACGTCCTGCTCCGAGAATAATACGCGAAAGTGAATGAAAAAGTAAAGATACACGTCTCTTATATTTTATAACTAACAACTAACGTATCTGTAATACATATAGAAATTATATTCTTCTACTTAAAACACGTCTTCTGTAGGACGTGTTAAAAAAGGACAAATTAAAAACCTGTTACCTTAACTTTTGGATTAATTTGTGAATTTTTCCAAATTTTTCTTTTAGATAAATAATTCAAATGTTCTCTCTTTTTATTATGTGATTTAACTTTCTCTAGGCGATAACGTCTAAGTAGATAATGCTTGAAACGGAGTGATTTTTTCAAGTTGCCTTGCACCGTGACAAGCCGGAAGAGTGAAATAAGTAGGGAAACCATCGTGTCTTTACTTTCCGATTCATCCTCGCGCCTGTGTATGCGTGCTGTGTTGTCCGGGGAGAATGTTGTATAAACATATAAGTAAATACGACATCGTCATGGGCAGTGCCTGTACTGATTGTTGACACGTGTTAAGCGCGATGCGCCTGCGACCGTATCGCGACTCTAGTCGATTCTATTTTCCTCAATGTGAAAGCCGTATTAGACTATATAACATTTTCTATGTGTAGCCGAAGAGAGAAAGAAGAGCGTGTCACGCTGAGCGCACGTGAGAGCACGGGGGTTGCGCCGAGGTTTCACTTTTGTTAATTTGCAAACATATACACACAGACACCCGACACACATACAAATGTAATTCTCGACGAAATAAAGATGAAGCTATCGTTGTACGAATCGAATTAAAATACTACAAAAGCTACCGAGACTTTCACCACTCATGATAAATAATTCTATATATCTATTGCCTGTTAAATTGTTAAACTCTTATCTTGCCTCTTTTTCTTTGTCACATATAGTGTAGTATACGCAAGATACAGCGAGCTTATTTTTTATGCGCTTCTTTTCTCTTTTTCCATTATTTAATCTGCTATTTAAATTATAATCGTCTTTCTCTGAAGAGTAAAAATTACATAAGCAATATTACAACGAGGAACCAGTGGGCGTCGCGACGCGCGCGTTCACCGTCGCGATGACGTTAGCCAACAGCGACAGCATGGTCTCCATCGAGAAGCCACAATGTGGATACGATCTTGAGCAGTTTCTACCCTTCCTACCGGCTTCCACCGCTTCCTCGATCGCCGTGCCCTGCATAGCTGTGCGGAACACCTGGTTGCCGGTGATTGTGTTCACCATCTTCTCGAAGGATGTCACCTTCTGGTCTTTCTCGTTCCCGTTGTTCTCGTCCTCGTCACCCACTGCGGCGGCCGCCTGTTGCGAGTAGGTGCATACCGCGCGTTGCATGCACGAGGTCGTGTCGATGCCATGGCGAGCCAGGACATCATCGATCCTCGTCAGAGTGTGCGTGAAGCCATTATCTTCACCTGCGTTCAATTGATATACATTTTATGGATACTATAGAAGCGGAATGTTCAACGAAAAATTGAAGAAAGAAGTAGGAATGACGTTGTTTTGAAATTTTCCATATTTTATTTGATCAAGTTTTGATTCAGAAATCCATCAAGTTGAATGGAAGTTGAAAAATCACGTCAACTAATATTCTGAGAGATTCTTTAGTGGTTTACAACGCGGAAATTATTAATGTTTCGGTAATGAAAAAACGTCAAGCTTCATGAGGTTTGAGGAAGAGATATATGAAATTTGAGATTTGTAAATACGAGAACAAATAAAATGAACAACGAGGGATTTAATCAATATATATAGATTTTATTATGGTATAAGAATACGTTCCTATACCATGGATTTTATAAATTGATATAACACTTACTTCTCGCATAAGCACCGTAAGTTCCCGACAGGATGTAGAGAAGCTTTGGGATGATGAGAATCGATCCTACGCCTATGATAGCTCCCAAGAGAAGTCCTCCAAGATCTATTTTCGCCGGCGCATAAGGTGATATGCCGTAACCCTGTTTCGGATTTAATTGATTACGTAAATTTAATTTAATTACGCCACTATGAATTTCCGATTAATTGACTTCAATTATTATCGAAAATAATAAGATAAAGTAATACTGAGTGCAGCAACACTTTTTAAAGAAAATTTTCTAAAATTTTGTAAGAGTTGGATAGAAATAGGAGATGGAAAAGATATAAGAGGGAAAAGAAATTGCAGAAATAAGAGATAAAGAAGTGTGGCATTATGTCCCAAAAGAATAGATACCTATAATAAAATATGAAAAAAATGGGAAAAAGAACTCGATCCAATACTTACGCTCCCTGTACTTCCGACATTGGTGAAACCAAATCGTGCCTCCTGGCTACGATCCGCAATGTCGTTCGTCTCGGATTCGCGTTTCGATGCTTCGTCGTGCTGTTTAATTTGAGACGGCATAGCTACCTGATCCTGTGCTTTCGCCTGCTTTTCCATGTAGCTGATAGAACTCGGCACAAAACTATCGATAGATCGTACAAAGATACATAACACAGATATTTTAACGATAAAAAATTACATTAATTTTCTCTTTAAATATCTCAATACATTTTAATTTTTAAGCCCTTTTTGAATGCCTTTTAAGCGTCTTTTGCATTTCTGTGACATTTGGGAAGAAATGTTGAACATATTGCAAAATAATATTGAATACAAATCCCTTGTATTATTAAAAATTTAACCGTTAAAATAAGACTTACCCTCCATCATCGAACTTCGGACTGCAATTGACCAGAATGGCGAAGCAGCTAATTATTGTCACGGTTAAACTTCGCGAGATACAAAATGTCATCTGAGAAAAAACTTAAAATAAATACTGAGAAAAATATCTGGTTAAAAACAGGCAAATTAGGAGATTGTATTAATCAGAATTCTACGACTATCTCAATTTTAGAATTCTAGCAGATTTATTCAGAAAATTCCGATTCGTCTATTTTAAGAATTTTAATCCAACCGAATATTTTTCTCAGTGAACCAATGATTAACACGCATGTTATATTAATATATTATATTATATTAAATTAAATGTCGATAGTATTTACGTGTTTTAATGAATATTGTACGAATATGGTACTCTACAATATTCCACAACAAAGAGTATATCTCTTTGTAAAACTAAAAATATCGTTTAATTACTGTAAAAAATTAGATATTTGAATCGGCAGTTTTATTATTTACAATTTGATGAATAACTGAATTTCTATAAAATGTAGATATCATAAATCTTTTAGAATACTTTGCGAACGTTACGTTATGGTGAATCAAGGTAGCAATTTGCCGAAGACTTTCTCGTGACATATATCGGGCGAATATAAACGTAATTATTTAAAGTGGATCGAGTAAATACCTTCGATAGCGATAAAGGAAAAGCGAATTCTTTAAGATACAACGTGGAAACTGAGATGTATCCTAGGATGAGATATGGCGATTCAGTGTCACGGACTGACTGTGTGATGTCTGCTTTCAGTCATATATAGTCGCTCTGGTCGTCTGAACACAAGTCGTGGATGATAATTGAAGCCCCGGTTTCGCTTTCATTGTTAAGTCTTCGTGGTGCATGACGTCTCCCTGTCGTCGCCTTCGTTGTCGCGGACGAAGAGAAGGCCGTTTCTTCTTCTTCTTCTGCAACGACTGCAACCACGTTGTCATCACAGGTTACTCCGTTCGAAATTCTGAGGCTGAAATAATGGTCAGTCGCCAACAATATCCTCTTAAGATGTTCACTGACTTTTGACATGCGAAATTTCGCGATTTCGGTCTCCGTCTTCTCGTGGCTGAAGTGATCTTGTCCATGTTACGACTTCCTGTAGCGCGTTACGAAATGTATGGAACTTTGGATTAGTTATGACTTGTATCTATCCAATTGTTTACGTAGCTAATTTTGATTACGTTTTCAAAGAGTGATATATGATGCAATTTAATTTGGAAATATAAAATTGAATTTTTTAATAATCGCTAATGTATGCGATTAAATAGAATGATATTAATATAATTTGCGCTCCGAATGATTCCAATTTTGCAAAAAAAAATAAAATAAATCGATGAACAAGAAGTACTTAAAATTTGTAGAAGAGTTCGCAAAAAAAAAAATATTTTTTTATTAAGTTTTAATTTATAGTAAAAAAATGCGAAGAAAAATGGTTGAATAATTTTTACCTTACTAAATTAATAAAAATATTCTAATTAATAAAAAAATATTTTTTTTACGATCTCTTCTATAAATTTTAAGTACTTCTTGTCTATCGATTTATTTTATTTTTTTTTTGTCGAACTTGTGACAAACTTTACTTGTTCTGAAGAAAAAAATATCAGAGGTGTAAGGTAAAAAATACAATTATGGTAAATCCGTTCACACAACTGATTATTATCTTACAATAAAATAAATTATACTATTCTCAAAATTGTACGCATGAACAACTCTCAAAATTTACTTTACGAAATATAAAAAGTACCTTATAATATGGCCTTATTATATGACGATCGTTCATTTACCAGAGAAGTAAAATAAATTTTACATAAGTGAGTGTTTGTCCCTATATTGACTTGCCAATTCCATAAATCTTACTAGAATTCTAGCTCATATTACTTTCCTACATTTTTTTCTATGTGAGGAGAAGAATATTAAACAGATTTATAAAAGTCGACGATTACTCGATAAAGTCAAAGAGATACAAATCAAAAAGTCACCAAACGAAAGATCGAAAGTGGATTAAGGATTTAAATGCAAGAAACCGCGAAAGTAGATGTAAGTAGTAGAGTTCACGCTATGAGATCATATATCGGAATCCTTCCGGAAATTTCTCGGAAAGAAATTCCATCTATACGTTGCATGTTCGCTACAAATCGCACGGGGAGAAGCCAGAGCGCGAATCAAAGTCACCTTTCGCGAAGCTCGCGTGTCGCGTTCTCCCCCGTTTCGAGTTCGACGGAGAAGTCGGTTCTAGACGGTGCCCCGGGAAATTCACTGAAAGTTACAGCTGGCCGAGTCTATAATTCTAATTGACTCGTCGTCACATTCGCTCTTTTTGTTGCACCAGATGAAAAATTATGTTTATAATAAGTCACGAGAAGCCGCTCATAATTATTGGGTTCCTTTATCTCTCCCCGGTGCATGGCAAGATGTAAAAGCGACTCGTCGAATGCAATAGTAATTAATAATACATTATTCTGGATTTCGCCGTTTGGGTTCGTTAATTCCGTCGCGAGAAATCGGTATTTCCTGTCTTGATAGGGGCGGACGAGCCTGTTACGAACGGGACAAATTAGTGGGGGTCTGCTGCACTGGAACGTTGAAAAGCACTTGGGTAGCACAAATGCATCTCATTACTTCGCGGGCGGCAGAAAGTCGAGGATATCGAGAATCCGATAAAGCAAGTGTTAACGTTTTATCTTCAACTGTTCCTAACTTCAATTATTCCTAAAAAGACTTTGAACATGAGGGCCACACCGACGGATTCGGCCGCTCTGATTCTTCTACCCTTCGCGCTGTTCTTCGTGCGAGTAATTGGCGATGACAATTCACGGACGTTTATGAATCTTAATGGCCAAAAGCCGCAATTCATCTCGTTTGACACTAAAGGTGGAGAAGTCGAAGTGAGTATATCGAAGTTGATTGAGTGGAAATTTTTGAAACACGTAAATTCCGCGAGAATTAATCTTATTATATAATTAAGCAAGATTTTCTTCAACTTCGAGTCATTTCTGAAGAATTCCACTTCAAATCATTTGAGAGATCTTTGAATCTCCCGTTTGAATTTTCCAGATCACTTGGGATGTATCAGTACCTTTCTTCACGATACCGATGAATCACGTGAGTGAGAATGGCGAAGTGTTACCATTGCTTAATGTTAACACGAAAGGATTGTCAATCGCTGGCATGCTAACAGCCATTCTCAGTTTGGCGGTGCCTCTTTTATCGAAGCCAGGCCCGGGAATGCAATATCGAAGTACGAGTTTCATTCCTATTCACTGCTCTGTGTTAAGATAATAAATTTATTGTAAATATTCTTGAATTACCTAGAGTGTGAATTTCTGTGTCAGGTCTCGACTCGCAATGGTCGCAAATGGGAGATACGATAAACGAGATCGTGTTTAGCAATCGATACATCACACCCTGCGTCCAGCGCATTGTTTGCACCATCGTTTCCGAGGCGAGTCATTCCGACAATCCTTCGAGTACCGATAAGATTATCGATGGATTATCAAGGTACGACTAATTTTTAATATTATTTTTTATAATATAATAAGTAATTAACAACTATTAATATATAAAATACTTTTGAGATTTTTAACCACTATTTTAATTTGGAATTAACTAAATAATAATATTATTTTGGATGGAAAAATTTATTTGCTTATTTAATGAGTATTCACTACATTAATAATTTAATCAAGTTAATAGAATATATATGTAATAAACTCTGCTAAATTTGGAGAGAAAGACAGTAAAGAAACAAACTGGAGAAGTAATATGTTAAGAGTAAGATAATTAATATCATTCATATTGAATGACAAAATACATTACAATTAAATAACGATTAAAGCAAGAGTAAAAATTTGTTTTTTTTTTCTTAATAATAGCTGAGAATTACATTTCTATATTATGCTTCGTCCAATTACAAAGACATTAAAATTTGTGACAAAGCACATTAACTATTCAATCAAGAAAAATTATATATAAAGATTATTGAATCAAATGAATGAATATATGCGGAAAAATTCTTTAATTGGTTACATAAAGAATTAAATTCTAATTATATGAATTTATCTTAATTATCTCAAATAGTCACAAGTGGTTTAAGGAATTCACAAATGGCACAGTCCTTCAGGAAGCTATCAGAGTAGGTCGAGAAGGACACCACGACTGCAGTCGCATCTACAAGGAATGCCTTGTGACGCCGAACATTCTTAAAAGTATGATGGCGCAAATCGGCGTAATTTAATGCCATGATTTTCGCAATTGTAAATTGTAAATAAGGTATCATCGATCGCGAGATGGGCAGTGTTTGAGTAGTCTTTTATTATCACACACTCTTGTTGCCGAAGCGAATGTCGCGTCGAGAATGATTTTGTGAAAATTTTGCAAAACACCCTCTAACCCGGCAAATGTGTCTCACGTTCAATTTTAAAATCATTCACAGTGTAACGAATGAGTTACATCAGGACGGCTGATCTTCATTATTCTGATGCACGAGGTGTGAAATTTCGTCGCGCTTAAGAGAAACTTCGTCGCATATTTAGATGATGGCGCTTTCACTTTTGCTTTTACGCAAATTGTTAGAAACCACCGCTATTTGACAAACATATAGTTTGATATCAGACTTAATTCATTCTCATTTATCAGTTTCATTTAATTTATTAGTTTCATTTAAAATGAACGATTTCTACATGATAACACAGGTAAATTAAGAGGATTTGCTTACATTAAATTTTTTTGCGTGATTTTCTCCAAAATACAAAAATTCAAACTTTTCAAAAAATTGAAGAAATATGAGAAGAAAATTAGTCATCAGCACAGCAGATAAATAATAGCAGTAGATTATTTTTTACGTACATAAGATAAAAACTATTTTAAAAATATATAATAAATATATTTAATACAAAGAAGCGTATAAATCTTGTAATATTCTAATTAAATTATAATGCAAGTAATGAATATTATTCAAACGATCACATGCTATTATTAATTAAAGTTATTATATAGGGTTATTATTTTATTATTGATACTATATTTTAAATAATGAAATCGTACAAATATTATTAAAGTAAGATACAAAATTATAATTCAGAATCTAAGATTCCAGGACTCTAAGATTCTAAGGATTCCTAGAAAATTTAGTTCCCGAGAATCGTTAGCTTTTTATTCATAATTGTCTAAAAATGCTATATATATATATATATATTTATAAACTTTATTGTAAAATACATTTTATTCTGTAAACATATTTATTCTATAAATTATAAATTTACCAATTTCGATAATATATAGCAAAAATGTTATTGCGTAGATTGCGCATCACGCGTCTACCCCTTTCCAAAATCCTATCACTTTTCAGTCTTTAAAACTCGACTGCATCGATCTCATTCAAGAAACTAGTTAAATAATTTTTTTCTCTTACAATATGATAAGCAATAAACTATAAGCAATAAAATATAAGCAATAAACTATGTACATGTTTTAAATCGAAAGAATCAGATAGAACAAATCACAGTTAAATGTTTTACTCTGGATCCCTTTGAGATAATTATTTTCAGATTTAGATAACTAAAGTCCGATTGCACCAATATTACTTCAACTTTAAAGGAGGCTTAAAACTTTCTGTCTCTCTGTCCCCCCCTCACCCCCCCCTCTCTCTCTCTCTCAAGCCGAGAGAGACAGAAAGAGAGAAAAAAAAAGTTTTAAGTCTTGTTTAAAGTTACAGCAACGTTGGTATAATCGGATCTAAAATGTGGATAGGCAATACAAGATTTTATATTCATGCTGTAATTTTGTCGTCGTCGTGGACGGCATCCTGCTTGAAAGACTCTAACAAACGCGCGGCACTCGCAGCTCGCGTAGCCTCTGCGAGATCCATTGCGGTTTGTCCTAGCATATCGAGGCAATGCGGATCTGCGCCGTGATCTAACAGGAACTCAATCGCTTCCGTGCGATCATGAAGAGCAGCGAAATGCAGTGGCGTGCGTTCAGAAAAATTCTTTTGCGATAAATCAGCGCCAGCCAGCAAGTACGACTGCAGACGCTTCGTGTTTCCTGCGGTTGCGGCCATGCACATCTTCTCGCTGATCAGCACAGCATCGCCGTGAAGATGTGCTCCACATTGCAGTAATATCCTGATGATCTAGAAAATCATAAAACGCACTTCCAACAATGATATTTTGATCATGGAATCTTAGTCTGCTAATTAAAACAAGATACCTTTCGATAAAGATGATGTAACAAGAGAAGAGCCAAGTATATAATGCACACGGATTTCACTTAAATTTCAAATATGTTTTAATATACTTACCTATTATTTATGAACAAATGGCATAATACAATATTTAAGTATTCTCGAGAAATTTGTATCTAAAGTTTTTAATTTTAGGAATTTTTAATTGAATCATAAATTAATATTATATTCGTATTTGGTTGCAGGCTTTTAAATAATGTTATGATTATAAGATAATAATTTTTCTATTACATACATTGCCTAATTATTTATTTAAATGCCTAATTATTTAAATTTACTTATAATTTTGTAAAAAAATTTACATTAAAAAAAGCGCATAAGAAACTTTCGATACAAACTTCTCGCAAATATTTGAATATTGCGTTGTGCTACTTACTCGTGAATTAGTAGAAGATAGTGGGAATACTAAAACATATTTAAAGTTGGGCGAAATCCTCCTTCGTGTGTACACTATTTGATCTTCTTGTGAGACCATCAAAATCCTCTTTAACAGTTTATTTTATGATTTCAATCACAAGTATTTCAAATTTTTTGTAATATATATAAAGAGATATGATAGGGTTGAAATTCAGATTTAATTTCTGGAGAACAGTCTCACCTCATGACGATCGTATTCGATCGCGTCAGTGAGAGGCGTGCGATCAAAACGATCCTTAATGTGAACATTTGCACCCATTTTTAAAAGACGTCGCACGACTTTTAAGTCTCCCTCGCAGCAGGCTATGTGCAAAGCCGTTCGACCATCTGCGTTTGCTTGCGAGATATCCGCGCCCTAAATAGAAAAAGCCGATTAGAGTAATAAATTAATTAGTAAATAATTCAGAAACTCATCCGTAATACACTGTAAATGTATATTATTTTTATATTATATTGCCATATGTAATCAGTGTGATTAGCTTACTATCGACATATATCAAAGACTAATATTTTTATTAATATATAAATCTATTTTAATCTTCAGTTTTTTTTTTGAGATTCTCTTTTCCAACGATAGAAAATTAATCCTTCAGCTGATGTCACGCTATACTATTTTGTCACGAATACAACTCTAAACGAGAATGAATTGAAATGGCTTGACATGGATTTAGATTTTTATTTTACATTCGCATTCGCAAACATTAAAATAAATTCTTTTCAATCCAAATGCATTTTTATTATTATAGGAATTACATGAAACGCATTTCTATGCCTTTCAATCTAAAACTAATATTAGCTTTCTTTATGCGTTGTGAATATCGTTTAATTCAAAATTCTGAATAGGAAATGCAGTTTTTTAATCCAACTGAATCTAACTGAATCCAATTGAAACTAAATGAATAAAAAAAGTTTTTTTTCCATTCAACTGAATTCAATGGATTTAAAATACGCGTAAAAATTTCAATTCATTTTAATCTATTCTCGATCACTGGGAACACATTGTGATGGAAAAGAGGGAACGACTCTTAAAAATGTTTAATTTTTTATAATATTCTTTAGAGGTTATCAATTTTGTTGCTTATTGAAAGAGATAATAATTATTAGTAACGTAAAATTTTAAATATTGAAGATTACTAACGTATCCTCTTAAAGACTCGAGTTTCACAACATCGCGTCTCACTACTGCGGCGTTCAGCATAGCTGGAAACAGGATCGACCCCAATTCCTGAAGTTCTACTGTTGAGGATAATCTCAAGGAGCGAGCAACAGCTTCCACCAGGTCCCAATCCTGTATTTTGGGCGGTCGACCGGCAGTCAGTTCACCCCGTAAATTCGTTTGCATCATTTGTCGCTTGGTTTCAGTATCCCAATCCTTCTTCGATAAGACGTACGCGAGTTTCGTTAACGCGGCTTCCGGTGTCATGTCAAAACCCGATATCACACCTGCGTATTGATAGCGAATTATTGCAAGTCTTAAAATAAAATTTATCTTAAGTAGAATACGTAATGCTATCGCAATTCAAATAAAATTTATCTGAAGTAGAATACGTAACACTATCATAACTTAAACACAGGAAAATATTTATGTTTATAACTCTGTGTCGCGCTTTATTACGCAAGTTTTCCGTAACATTTTCTACAATTTTAATCTGTAATTTTACTGAAAAGAGAAAGATAAAATTTAATGGAGAGATAAAGAATTAAAATTGCTAATAATCTCGAGGAAGTTTCAGCTTTCAGTATTATTTAAAGCTGCATTCAAATGAGAGATCTCTATATGTTTGAATGATTAATCTTTTTTTGAATCAGTGATTTTATTTATACGGTACCAGCTTTTTGGAGCAATTTTCCAGCCTCGTACGTATCCGAGACACATCCGGTCGAACATTGTGTGATATTCACAACAATCACACCGCGCTTTGTCGCCGCGCTAAGCTCCTCGATGATGTCATCACGATTTGTCGGGATGTTCCCCAAGCCGTAGGACTGCAGCACGACTCCCTCGATGGGTGGTTGAAGAAACACTTTGACCAGGTCGGAAGTGATACTGGGAAATAAGCGGAGCAGGCCTACGTTTCGATTGAGTGACGCGTGTACGTAAAACTTCTCCATAGTACAGGCTCGGAAAATCAAACGATAGTCCACTGCGAAGGAATATTAGTCTTGAATTCTTTAGATGTCTCGTAAATTATATTAATCAAATTAGATTTTTTCTTAGAGAAAAAAATGTTAATATTTATAGCACACTGTAAAAAGTACGATGTTTAAAATGTTTATATTTAAAACGTCTTTGCAAAACGTTTAATAATAAAAGATATTGTAATTTTAACAGTTTTAGTATTTTAAATCCAAATACATAACATAATGTTTTGTTTATTAAAAAAATTTAAGACTAACAAAGACATTTTTAAGTGTTCAAAAAACGGAGACATTTGAATATCTTAAAATTAAAATCATCTTTTTTTTTGAATGCATCTGCAAACAATTGATAATAGACAATGCACAATAATAGATTATATGAATAATAATTTAATTATATTATATATATACATATATATATTTCAAGTATTATGATTTCATTTCTTGTATTGTTCACTAAAACTTTAGAAAAATCTCAAGAAAATTATACTGTTGTCTTGAATGTATGTAGCAACCTTCAATCTTGACGTTCGCCATGGCGAGAGGTAAAAAGTTCGGTGACTGGAATGCTTCGAATGATGTCGCAGACGCCTTGCTCGTCCGATTGCCACGCAACAAGTTTGTACCGAAGAACACGCATACTTCAGGTATATTGTAATTCGCCGCGATTACGAGAGACGCGAGGAAGTTGTCCAGACCGTCGCTCCTCGTGTCAAAAATCGGTACTTGTGAACCGGTTAGGATGACAGACTTGCCCAGAGCCTCAAGCATGAAAGAAAGAGCGGACGCAGTGTAACTGAGGGTGTCGGTGCCGTGAAGGATCACGAATCCGTCGAAGCGCTCGTAAGATTCCTACAAAAGAGAAGCTCTGAGAATTGCCTTACCATAATTTAATTTATTGTCGAGTATGCTTCACCTTTATTAAACACGTATAGAGAGCTTTGGTTGCAAGTTTAATCATACTTTCCTTGTAACTTGAGTTAAAGGATACTTTCCTTTAACTCGAGTAAGATTAGATTAACTGAAACTACAGTTTAAAAATATTGAGCGTGAATCACTTGATACATAATATATTGTTTATACATCTTTATTTGCGTCTAAAATTACGTAATTTAAGAACTTATTGTTTAAAAAATAAATTGAATTAAAAAATTTTAATAAGAGAGCAACATATTTTCTTTAAGTTGCTCTGTCTTTATGTCTGAATTAACATACCTTAATATCGTTAGCAATGCGAATCCAGCCATCCATGGTCATATTACTAGAATCGCAGAGATTCGAGTACTCGAATACGTTGTAAACAACCCGACGACTGTCAGCTGCAGTCACGCTGCAAGATTAAGAGGAAAACACTTTTAACATTGCGCAAGAGAAAGCGAAATGGTACGCGGGGAACCGGTTCACGTTTTTCCGCAAATTATATGGAATTTTTACGGGTCATGTTTCCCTACGAAAAATAATCGGATTGAAAAAACTGGCACACAAGAAACTCCGAATTTCCAATTTCCAAAATCAATGCTGCTTCATTACTTATCTTTTACAATAAATCGAGTGATTAATCTTGTCATGTGAAAATTGTTATATTCAACTTAAAAATAACAAAAAGGTCTTAGGCCGGTATTTATAATTTATTCTTATTCCAAGACAATCTTAAATATAGGTATATTAATTAATAATAAATACCAATTTTATTAAGGAATTATATTTTTAAAGACAATTCAAATAATTTATTTAATATCCGATTTCTTTCTCACCAATGAAAGTTCAAAGTTAAAATTCCAACGAAAATTTAGTTGACAAAACGAGTTTGTACACGGAGAGAATTTTCTTTTAAAGTTTATCCTGAAAATATATATGGTGATTGTGATACAATACAATATTTTAAAGATTTTTACCTACTTCAGTAAAATTGATTAAACTTATTTTATACTTTATTGTAGTTTTATTAATGAATGAGAGAGATTTATATTAAAATTCTTCGAAATACAATGTTGTCCCACGATTGTCATATTTTCAGGGTAAATTCTAAGAAAAAATTCTCTCCGTGTAGAAATTATTATTGACTCATTATTTCTGTATGGGAATTCGCAATTATAATATCTGCAAATAATATTAAACATTAAATACTTACGGCAAAACTAGCGGTCCCATCGCCCCGAATCTTTTCTCAGCATACTCTCGATCATGTAATTGTGGATATTTCCGTAGATTTTTTACAAACGCATTGGCTAATGGCACCAATACTATAGAAAACAGTCATTTTGTTGTTGTCAGCAAAGTATGATAAAGATGGAAATAATTATGATGTCACAAAATGATGTGACATTATTTTAAATTTATTATACTAATTTATTTATCATCACATTTGGAGCTTTAATTGTATTATGTTTATAATTTTCTTTTGATTTATATTCAAAAATTCTATAGCAAAGATAAAACCAGAGATCCAATAAGACAAATTACGTGAACCATTCTTTGGATCTAAAATCTTCATTGGAATCCATTTATTATTAAAAATTAAGTTATACGAATATGTGCTACCAACGATCTGTGGACGAGAGACACTAAAAATCCGTAAGTTGCTTGGTCTGTGAAACGAGAGAAAAACTAAGGAGAAAATTAAGGATGTACAAAATCGGAGATTCTTCGTGAGATCGGATGGGATTTCATAAAAAATGAAGAAGAAGAACATTCATATGTGAAGTTCAGCTGTCTGAAATTTATGGTGATGAAGATATTACGGTGCAAGATTTCACGTCTTTCGAAATCTACAAGGTAATTTCTTAAATTTCATGAAATAATCACCTCCTTGTTCATTTCTCATCATTCCTATCGTACCACCCGTATAAAGCACCAGAACGCGACCTTCCTGCTCGTTACCGTTGGCCATCCTGCCGGTGACGTTTCTTCTAATACTTTCTATATTTCCACCATTAATATCGTTATCACAAACGTCTTCTGACCCACTAGACAATCGTGACATAACGCACGTGCAGCCGTCCCGATGACTTCTATGAGACTGATTGCAAGACCGACTGGTGTCGCATGATCTTACTTGCACTGACGTCAGGAATTGGGATACAACTGTAGTTATGTCTGTTTCTACCAATACAAATTAACTTCAATTTTAGATCAATTTACTCTTTATTTTTTTCTAGTTTTTAAAAAAAAGTGGAGAATAAATCAAACAAAAATTAAAGTTAATCTAAGTAGATTTCTAAGAACTAGAAGAAATAAAGTATAAGTTAAACTAAAAAAAAACTAAACATACGTTGGTAGAAACAATAGAATCAATATTTTTCATTTCTTAAATTTTTGAAAGATTTATATTATTTTTTATGAATTATTATCTCCAATTTTTATTGTCTGCGAATGTTGTCTTTGATTATGTTTGATTTAAAAAAATATCTATAGTGTGTCCTCAACTGTTAATCAATTAATTATTAATTAAAAATTCTAATTTTGTACTTAGATTGATCTTAATAACATTGATCTTAATAAGTAAGAGTCAGTTTTGTGGTCATCTTTGTATTTTTTTTGTTCTTGTTCATGGTTAAATAGAATAAGAATAGGTGAATAAGAAGAAAATTTACCACGTCACTTGTTATCATCTGTTAGCAGCCAGCTTATTCGACAGTAATTCAGTCTTATACATACACTGTTATAACGTCAATCCTAAGCGCTTAAGAGAATTACAAAGAACAACAAATTTTTAGCTGTTCTATTATTATGACGATATGTGAAATATTTATCTTCCAATAACACAGTTAACGACGATGACAAACAACTAGACGAGATAAACGACGACGTAACGTTTCTGTTAATTGTAAGATAATGAATACATCCCATGTGTTATTTTTCTTGCTGCTTATAATAGAATTTACCATATTAAGTGGAAACAAGAACGACAATACAAAAGAAATAAGGCATATAAGAGTCAACGTAATTATATCTAAAATATAAGAACTATAATATATAAAATATAAAATGTATAAAATCTATTAACGTATCATGAAACAAATTACATTACATTACATTACATTACATTACATGTTTCGGCTCTTGAATTGAGTCATCTTCAGATAAAAAATAAAATTACAACCTTTACATTCATATTTATCGTCATACACAAATCGTGATTCGATGAAAGTTACCCAAATTGTATATCTATATTGATGAATGTCCTACGGAGACCATGAATTGCTTGTAAACGATTTACCGACCGATTGTTCAGAATTTCATGATATTCAACATGATCGCATTTATCCTTTTTTAAGATATACATCGTCAAATTCATCTTAAAATCATGTAAAATATAAGAGGTGCTATACCAGTCAAATAGTAATACTAACAAAACCACAGTCACTATGTTAAAAATTTGATAATCAGTGTAGATCGAAACATCCAGAAAGAATTTTTTGAAATATGTGTTAACAATAAAGCTGACTGTCACTATCTGATAGATAAGCCTCGATGATCTAATGGCTTAGGACGCTCGTGCGGAATACCAGAGATCCGAGTTCAAGTCCTGGCCGAGGTAATATTTTTCGAAATAAATTTATTTAAGGTTTTCAGCACATTGTCAATTTAATTTAACTTGTGATATTATTGCAGTAGTTTAATTGCGTTAGATAAAGTCCGGGAAAATTTCGGAGCGCAGTTTGAATAACTACAAAATATAATATATATGCATGTACATATATAGGATATAGATAATTCATTGGGAATTATTTAGGCAAAAAAAGATCTAGCTTTGACGTCATAGGCCTGAATATACTTATACTTAGTGTAAAAATATAATATTTTTATAATTTGCATTAATGATCAGATCGTCCAGGAAATCGTTCCGAATAATTAAATCATGCGCATTGATAAAACGAACCGATTTCAAAGCGCTGCTTAACAATAGTTGTTTTCCAGCGATTTTCAGATAATTCTCACTTGTGACGTCATAACTCAGTTAAATGCTTCCTTTTACATTTTGACAAATGAGATTTAACTGACTTTTTGCCTATAATCTGCACAAGATCGAGATCATATGCTTTAGAGTTTCATAAACTCACTTTAAAAGTGAGATTATCCCGCATAAAAATATACTACTAGTGTATAAGTAAATTCGACAAGTGGTGTCACTAATAATGTAATAGTGGTGGAGAAAATTTCATTAAAATTTTCAATGAAATTTTTTATCGAATTTACTTCTTGCACTAGTGACACTAGTAGTATATTTTTATGCGAGATGAACCTGTGTTATCATGTGATAACTTATTTTTACCAAAGTATGAAATACTTTGTTTTTTTTTACAAAAGTATGAAATACTCAGCTCACTTCAGACTCAGCTTCACTTATGTGTAAATGGAGAGCAACTATATATTGTAATGCAGTATATGCGTTTCCTGCGCAACTTGGAACGCACCTTTAGTTTCACAACTTATAGTTAATTCTTAATCGAGGTTCGAATCCTAGAATTGGAAAGAGATGAGGAATAAATTGAACTTCGGTTAAGAGTTAACCGTAAATTATGTTGGATCTTAAGGGCCACCTCGCTAACTCTGATTAGAGAAATTGAAATTTATTTTTCGATTTCTCGACCAGAACTTGACTAAGGTATCGATATCTCGAAATCGATTCAGTCGATTTCAACGCGTCTGCCACATGCCACTATGGCACTATATCGCTAGCAATGACAGATTAGCAGCAGGCAACAATTGCAAACACCTGATGCGTCAAACATCATCGTGATGAATTCAGAATAATCGCGATGACGGTGAAGGAGAGATTGGAGGCGTACAGACGCAAGAAGCGCAGACAGGAAATGATGGAATCGATCAAAAGTGTAATGAGAAATATATTTTCATGGAATCGTGAAATCAGAATCGAGAAATCCGAAGAATCGATGAAAGAGGAGCAGGTGAGGTTACATTTTGCGGTTGACATTCATGAGAGAAAAAAATTAAGAAAGTTACGGAAAGTTTTAAAAGATGTTTTGAGGAAGGAATATAAATTTCTTCCTTTGTTTCTAGGTTAAACTGTGCAAACAATTAGTGGTTGTCGAAGAGGATGTCCAGGAGGTCGATGTTCAGGAGGAGGACAACACGCAGGAATCGCAAAGTACAGTGTTAAAACGAGTAATCTATTTATTATATTTTCTATTATGGGCCACGTTATATATGATTGCATTGGAGTACGAGTTCGGTGCTGTCTACTTTGTACTATCGGCTCTGATCTTCATCTGCTTGAACACCAGGTCCGGGCCGAAGCGACGCGGCGAACCTAGCGCTTATTCTGTCTTCAATCCGAATTGTGAGGCGATAGAGGGTACTCTCGATGCATCACAGTTCGAAAAAGAAATAAGATATGGTATAGGAGGGATACGATGAAATTGACATAAATCAGGAAAGTCTGAATATAGATTTGATATGACGTTATTCGCATTCCGATCTATTTTACGTCATGATTGGATTATTTAATGTGGGAATGAATATGTAACATTTTCATTGTCAGATAAATAGCTTTACGATTTAAAGCTAAAGTAATGTTACATGAGCATAAATGTATATGAATTACATTTAACTCTTCTAAAAGTATATTATATATATTTAAAAGCTAATTCTTATTTAATTTAATATTTAGTTCGAAGAGAATCTAATTTTTTTTACATATGGGGTACAAATTACGAATATATAAATTCCACAAAGTTTTATAGTAGTTCCAAAAAAGTATAAAATGTGATAGCGAAAGCATATGTTAGGTATACGTAAAAATATATAAATAAGTATTATGTTATGTGTTACTATTGTAAATTTTTACAGATAGATAGAAATATATATTTTATTTACATTCAACTGTAAAAATGTAATTGTCCTTAGCTGGGCAATAAACATGAAATAAGGTAAAGCAAAGGAAACGCCAAAACGATTTTCATGTACTATTTATAATACAAAAATGAGCTATGGATTCTTTATACTCACTAATTCTCGTTTTGTCATTTATATTGCTTTGCGTAGAAAACAATTGAGACTGAGCAATTAATGAAAAATGTATATTGTCACATCAAGAAGCAAGTGTCTTGTAACAATCTATATATTTTCTGAAGTCTTTCTCGTATCTTCCCTTTTCTCGAGAGAGAAGTTTCTCTTTTTCGTCCTATCTTTCTTGCAGAATTTCTATAGCGTCCTCATAACATTTCGTCATCTGGTCGAGATAAGCTAATATGGTAGATTCGCTAATGGATTCGTGCGACAATTTCCGAAATGTCGCTAAATCGGTTCTGGAATGCGAATCGATTTTATCAGGACACAGAAGCGCTTTATCTAGGTCCAGAAGCAGATCATTCCATATCCTCATATGCAGCATCCTAAAATATTAAAATATAATCATATAATCTTGGCAAGTTATATGAGACAATTTTCTCAATAATTTTAATTCTAGTAATTTCTGTGATATCCGCGTCATTGATTTCATACAAACATTATTAAGTTTGTTAATTAATTGATCATTAATTAATTCTGAGTTTACTACACTTACTGGTCATCATCTGTCGTGTCGATTTCTGCATTAAGCTCTTCCACGACTGTGAGCAATATCCTTAACGTTTTCTTCAGTTTTTCTGAAGGTGTAATGTAGAAAAGCAATGATTAATTCAGGCTTTTTAATACTCCTGTTGGAAATTAATGAAATCAAAGAAAATAAAAAATACCCTTTGCATCTTGAAATCTGCTAGGGTTAATAGACTCCAATATTTCATTAACGGTTTTGTTAAAATACTTAGGTTCCCATTGAATAACTGTACATTCGGACAGTCGCCATATAGTTTGACCAACCATTTGAGCCAGAGTTACGTCATGCAGTCGGGAATTTTGATTGTGATGATTGTGCGCAGGGCTGTTATCATTCTGCATAAAAAAAAGAGATGAAAGCACAGACCTTTTTCCGATTAACCAAAATTAATTATTAACCAAATAGACATTTTATAAAATATTTACAAGTCTTATAAGCAGATACTTTAATAATAAAATTGTTTAAATCTTAATTTATATATAGAATCTAAAATATAGCAATATATGTTATTAAATAAATGCAATTTATACTGATGGAATTCTGAAAGAGCTTTGCATGAAATGAGGCTACTTACGAACGAAAATATCACTTGCGGAATATCTAGAGAAAGGCGGGGACCGAATACTTCGTGTTCAAGATATGTCCAGTTATTATCGCCAGGTATTGTCCTGATAGCTTCGACAGCTATAGATCGCATGATATCTGATCCGAATAAAACCGCGTGATTGTTAGCTGAAATCAAATAATTCTTTATATCTGTGTTTCCTATATGATGTTCATAACACGGAAAATATAAAAATTTGAGTAAACCTCGCACAAAACGACCATGCACCGTCACATAAGCCACAGCTTTTCGCCATATAAATATAGGCAGAGCCTGTGGGCAAATGTCCGAGGATGTAAAAGACATGCAAAAGATTAAACTTCGTCGTGGTCGCCAATTGTGCCCTGAACATATCTTGTCTAAGACTTGCGCCAATTCCAGAGCTAATGTTATACCATCTTCATTAACGGATAAGATAATATATCTATCTGAAACAATTCAGTAGAATAAACGGAAGTCCTATGCGGTAGAAGACGAGAGAAGAGATAAAAGGCATTGTTTTTCTTTAAGTAAATATATGCAATGATAAAATTAGGAGACACAATAGTGTCTCGGGTGTCAAATAACTTCCGAGACCGGTCTATTCGAAACATGATCACATTAACCCTTTGAGGACGGGAACTTTCTAACAAAGAAAAACTTAAAGAAGAATTTGTTTTCTAAAGGTTTTTAACGTTGCTGAATTTCATTCTAGCTTCAGAATTCTAAAATTCTCATTTCAAAATAAAAAAAAAATAATCTGGTTATATCTTAGTTAAAACTTAGTAAAATTTAATTTTAGAAGATTCTTGGACGTTGTGTTTAAATATAGCCTGAAAATGTTGAAAAGGTAGTGATCTGCAATGAAGAAGTTTACAGAATTCATAATATAATTAAAGTTTGGAAGTCGGTTTGAAAATCAATACTTAACTGTTTGTGCAGTATTGAGGGACTTAAAATAAAGCGAAAATATTACCAAATTATTTCATACTATAGGCAAAGTTTCATAAAAATAAAAAGACTAGTTTATGAAATAAAAGGAAGTAAATGATCCTTAAGTAGGATCACCCGTTTATAAAAGATTAAAGATTATTTCATGTGACTGTTTGTGAATTGCATGTAAACGTAAATGAAAATTGCAAAATAATTTGCGAATATATTAAATAGAGTAAGAGGTTATTTTAAAAGTTTTTAAGAGTCGATATAGTAAACTCTTCATTTTTTATCCAAGTAAATATAACTAAAGCATTAAGGACTCACCTGGTTCTCGTGAACCGCGGACAGTCGCATGAATGCATGATGCATGGTTGTACACTTTATGAATGAGTGACAAGTTGGAAAAGAGCCCACTTATGCGTCGCATATCTTCATCTGACGTCTGTCTATTTCTAATTGAAAATAACAAACATTTATTAGTAAAGAATTTAATTCGATAATTTTCTAATGGAATTTTTCATAAAGATTAATCTACTATTGTATATGGTATTATATTCTGATTATATTGTCATGTATAAATGAGAATATATTCAGATATATTGTCATATATAATTAAAAATAAGATATTAAGACAAATATACGTCGTGCGATCGTAGTCGAGTGGCGCTCTTTCGAATTCCTGGAGCATTACTTCCTGAAGATACTCTGTGTTTTGGAGACCATTTCCGGCCAATTCACTTCGTATCTTTTGTGCCTGAGCTTCCAATGATCTCTCAATGGTGAAGCGGCCCAGCAGAAAACCGCATAGGAGACATAGGAAACCAACCGAGAAGAGAAACGAGAAACACAACCGTTTCGTCACGTATTCACTGGACTCGCCGATATTGCGAGTCATTTGAAGGCTGAGGACTCGCTGCATCCTCGCGTTTTTTGTAGAAATCTGTTCAAAAGTATTGCTAACAGATTTCTGCTATTATCCTTTATCGTGTTGTATTTGTCAGATTAAATTCTTCTCATATAGCCCCATATTGGACAGCTTTAAAATATGAAAGCTCGACCTAGATTTTTCTTATACAAACCCAACAAATTCACATTTCTAGATCAAATGTGTGCACGAAACATAAATCACAATTACGCAAGCTTTATTTTAAATCCTAAGTTTATTAAATCAACAAAATCTTTGTAATGTATAAGATATTTCTTCGTATATTATTTGCGCGAAAGTTTCAATTATATGGCGAATCGCGAAAACGATCCACTTCTGTTAATTAAATCGATCACCAATATAGTAGTCACATTATCTGGATAACAAGATTATTAAATTAACGATAAATCTTCGCAGATTTTATGCGATACGTCCACTTGGACCACACTTTGTCACCATGTAGGAAAATCTCACGGCGAGTTTTGATCGTGAAGACGATAGAGCTGACCGTTTTCCGCTGTCTCCGCCGTCGCCAAATTGCGTGGGACCCCACAGATATATTTTACAGTCCGCCTCTTTGACGTCTCGTTTATTTTATTCTTGCGTGAAGAGCGTGCGCGCTGTTCTCATCTCCGTTCTTTTGTATGGAGAAAAATAAGGAAGTGAAAGGAAGAAGAAAAAACAATATAACAGTGAGAATTCATTTTCTAATCGAGTCCGCACTTGGCTTTTGCTTAATAAGAATTTTAGAAATTTATCCAATTTTTATTATTCACAATTTAGGTGAAAATATTCTTACAGTTAAAATGTTTTTTTTTTTTTAAGTATTGCGGCAAGAAATTTTTAATGAAAGGTAATCTGAGATAAGATTATCAAAGAAAAAGGCTGATTATAATTATCAATGTCTTTAAATTGAAGAAATCATTTAGGGCAAGATCATTTGTCAAGATTACAAATTTATTTGGAAAATGACACTAAAACACGTTTCTTTCTGGACACCGTGTACGCAAACGTCATCAGAAGTGTGGACGTCGCATGTTGGGTAATTTATTTCGAGCAATAATACGATGGCGGTGTTTCATTTATAAATAGTTTTCGATGTATTACGTGCGCGTGCAAGGTTGTTCCAACTATAACGTCTTCTATGCGAACTTTCGAAATTGTATATACAAATTTTTCACATGTGTTAGTGACAATGTACAGTCGATTTTATTAAAAGTTCGTTATTTGTTAAATCTTAAATAAATTAACACTTAAAAAATTACGGGAAACAATGAAGTTCATTCGGACAATGATAAATTCGAAAGTGTAAATTGAGGCAGGTATCATTAAATATTACCCATGGATAAAATTAATCTTTAATACATATGATGGTTTTTCACACCTTTATTACACACAATGGGTCTTTCGCGTGCTGAATTAATTCTTATTACTTTTATAAATATCTATATAAAAAAAAGGAGAGAAATATTAATAAAGATAAGAAGACGTTAATGTGTTTTGGAAGGTATTTAAAATTCATTTGTCTTTAAAAGCAATTAATTTCAAATCTTTGGACTTTGATCAATCTTTTATTTAAAAAATTTTTACCTACACATATGAAAATAGGTTTTTCTTTAAATTTAACATATTAGAACCTAATGCTACACCGTTAGAAATGTTGTTAAATTTCATTAATTTTTAAGTTACATAATTGAATTTAATTTGAATTTAATTTCATGACATTACATTAAATTTAATGTATTTGTAACTAAAAAAGTTTATTTATAAAGTACATGTACATAAAATTTAATGTATTTTTCATGAAAATTTATGAAATTTAATATACACGTTTATTACATTTAAGTAACTACTGTAACTTAATTTTCAGTTAAATCATTCATTACTTTGAATTTCGTTTACAAGTAAAGGAAGCTCGTGGTTACATTTCTAACAGTGTAGGACTTAATAGAATCGAGAATAAAGATAAATGTTATATTTGTTAAACTATTGTGAGTTAGGCTATTAATTTACACCAAGTCATTGTGAATCAAGACAATTCAATATCTATAAAACATATTATATTTTAAACATACACTGTTAAAAATATCATGAAATTTAATGTACTTTTAAGTTACATAAATTAAATTCAATTTTATGACGTTAAATTAAATGTAATGTAGCTGCAACTGAAAAGTATATTTGTGTATATACACATGAAATTTAACGTATAAAATTTTTATAAAATTTTATGAAGTTTAGTACATTTTTTATTAAATTTTATTTAGATTTGCATAAAATTTAACATAAGTAAACGTTAAATTTAAATTACTTACATTCATTTTTATTGATAACATTAAATATTAAATATTTTTAATGTATCTGCTTGAAATTTACTTCCATATTACATGTAACGGAAGCAAATTTGTTTTTCTAACAGTGTATTTCACGATATTTTCTTCTTGATTAAAAAGTCATTTTCGATATATCCGTAAATACATTCTTGAATGTAATTAACATAGGCAAATATTAATGTAATATTTCTGTCGTGCATCTTCTAATTTGTCCTTATGTTCTAGAACGTCGGAAAAACGTTCGTTGGAGTGTGTTCCGATGTAATGCAACACGGTGTCTCCTCAAACTCTGTGGATTACCAAACGTATCGTTACATATCTCGCACTCGAACGGTTCTGCAAACGTTTATACAAAAATTGCAAATTCTTTATACGATACAGATATTCGATCCATAAGAATTATTTGCACGGACAAAGATATCTGTTCTTACCATGCGTTTTCCAGTGCAGAAATAAACTTGAATAATCACTATACGCTTTATAGCAATAAGTACAAAATACCACGTCCTTATGATATACATAAATATGTTGTTGGAACGTGAACCAAGTCCTGCTGATTGAATTACAATAATCACACATGTAAGATATTTCGGCATCATTATCATGGATTTCTTGCATGTGCTGGTCTAAACTCATCTTTGTTTCAAAAGAAATGTTACATTTGCAGCAGACGTTCCGGCATGGAATTACATTCATAAAATGCAGATTCCTGGAATGATCTCTGCTTTCTCTATTCCTTGATAAAATAGCACCCATGATGGCGGCGATGATTCAATGCAAATTCCTTTTGGAAAAACCGTTGTTAACAAGTAGTTTTATAATTTTCGGTCTTTCGTTTCACGCACTTTTTTTTACGACAGGTTATTTCTATTCTTTCGAAATCTTCGTATACGAATTGATATGTAAAATCTCAGGTAATTTGAATTTTGCAATTTCAGATTGCAGATTCAGAAAGTCGATAAGAACAATACCGCAGCACGTATTTAGTATGAGGACTCGAGGAATTCTGTGGTATTAAATTTGACCGACGAATGTATACAACTTTTTTGTCTACACCTCGTCTGAAATATTTTTGTATATTTAAACATTTAACAATAAACAACAAGTCCTGTTTATATGTATCTAAACTTTGTATTGCTTCTTCAGATGCTATTGCTGGATAAACCTATAGCAAATTTGTAATTATCGATTGTGAGTGATGTAAGTACGATTGCAGAAATGTGCAAATATCGAAATATCAAGATAGTTTATTTGTTTAAGTTATATACGCAAATAAGTACCTTAATTGATTAAAGATTATAAAAATTAGGCACATTTTTTATATTTAATTAGAAGATAAAAATATTGTAAAAAATATTTAATCTATTTGTTTTTAAGAAAAATTAATCTCTAATTTTTATTCTCTGCAATCAATTCTTATTTAAAAACTTTTATATTTATATACATATTTATATAATATACATGTCTATTTTTAATTTGATATATTAACTGTCATAATCTAGTAGTAGTCCAAAGTATAAAAATTTGTGTCTTATTTGAAGAATCACATTATTTATTTAATCTACTAAATCATTGAAAGATGATTTAATATTCGTGTAATATATATGCTCTTATTTAGAATATCATATTTTATCAGGTTCCTTATAAAAAATTATTTTTAACGGCATTAATAATTTTCGACAGAGAATAAAACCATATGTATGAACGCCCTTTCGTGTATTAATTATTCCTTGTAATTTTATTCTTCTCTTTGCATTGGACCGTTTTGCGATGGACGATATGAAAGTCGAATAGCATCTCATGATGCAGCGAGAGGTGATGATCCCTCAAATTTAATAGCGTTTTAAATATGTTGTAACATAATTTGCACTCGAACGGCTCTGTGTGCAAATGTAAATTTATTATACAATATTTTTGGTTCGAAAAACTGTTTGTCGTAGCATGTTTCAATGCAATTTTCTTTTAAAAAGATAATATCATACTTGTGAAAGGTGACGCTGATTTTTTTTATTGCAGATTTTTTCTTAATCCGTTCTTCTTTTCGTTTTTTTTCCGTCCTTCCTGACTCTTTGTGATTAGAGATTCGTAAACGTGATAGTATATAGATGCTCGGGCAGTAATGGTCAATTTTGCAATTTAAATCGTAAAAGAAATTGCAAAAGGAAGCCAAATGTCGCAGCGCGAGCGGTCGACGGACTCGAACTCAAACTTGAAAACGATCGAAATGAATATAAATTTTTTTTGTACTTACCGAACACATTTTAGAAACAATCTTTATATATATACGATTGGGAATAAATTTTGTATTGTATGTATCATTGCTGGATAAAACCCTTTAAATTTCCAACTGTTGATCAATATGATTATGTAGGCAATTATACAAATCATACAATTCTTATTGCAAAAATACTTGTCTTTCTCTGAAAATATGATTACATTGGTATAATAGGATAAGATTGGTGTTTCATTTATAAATAATTTTTAGAAATTATAATTGTATTACATGTACATTTCAATTATAACATCTACGTATTTTTTATTATAAGCTTTTTCGTAGTCATCAATATTAATTTCCATAAAAGTTTCTACTGATGTATTAAAGGTTTGTTACTATTTTTTTTTAACTACAAAGAGTGCATTCCATTTGACGCTCACAATACTCGCGAGCATCATTTGTCCTTCTTTAATATTTATATACAGACAAGGATAAAATGATGCCACAAGCAGTGTTAATTGGAAGACAGCTAAAGTAGCGTCCTATATATATACACAGTTCAAAGAGAACTTTGTCGTATTTATGTATATGATTCTAGACATCTTACTTTGCCTACTATATATATCGCCTCCTATGAAGAGGGGTAAATCTCTCGTTAAGTATAATTATTTAGAGATTATTTAAATAAAACAATGATATGTTTTAATATTTTATTATAAATTTTATTATATTTAGAGATTATTTTATTATTTTATTTATTTATTTAATAAGATTATTATATTTAGAGATTATTTAAATAAAACAATGATGTGTTTTAATATTTTATTATATTTTATTATAAACTTTATTATAAAGTAAACGTATATATAGTATATTGTAAAAAATTTTTAAACACATTGGTTCTTGGCAAAAGTAAGCTATAAACTTCTGTTCTTTAGTTATCTTTCACTTACAACATTTTTTATATGTATATATAGGAATGTTTTTTTATTTTACATATAATATACTTATCTTTTTTCTTTTACTCTCTCTCTCTCTCTCTCTCTCTCTCTCCTTCCCTCTCTTTATTATGATCTATTTAATACTTGATCCGTAATTATGGAAAAAGATCTATTTTAAAATATCACATGTCATATATATATATATATAATAGAATTGATTCTATAATGCAGAAAGTAAAACTATAACGTAAAATTAACATCAATATAAATAATACATATCTATTTCAGAATAATTTTTTCCTAAATGTCAATTTTTTATCAGATTAATGTAATACATATGTAAGATACACGTCTAACATTCTCGTGTTTTATTTACGATTAACAATTTGGATTTGATTTATGGATATTTATGAAATTTCAAAATATCCTTACCTATTAAATTTTTGCATTACATTGCATCGCATTATTAGGTATTACTAGCGTATGTTTAAAAATAATATTCATGAAAAATATACTCTCTTATACGCACGCACACACGCTGTATATTACATTCTTCGTTATTTATAGATACAAATAGAAAAAGGATAATTTTACGTGAAGAAAAATATGTCAAAAAATTATTTATATATAAATGCTCTTCCCAAACATTCAAAAAATGTTTGAAACTCAGGATATTAAAGATTAAATCAAATAATTATTAATATTTATAAAATATTTA